ATCAACAAAAAACAAACGACAATTAAAATAATATTGTATTAAGCCTTCATAGATCTGTAACATATGTATTGTACCATGTAATTTAAGAATTTTTTTATGCATTATTAATTTATATATTATATGGGGCTTCTTAAAATTTTCGAATGTGTATTATCTTATAAATTTAGCGAATTATTAATTTAGCACGTTGTCCCCGAATCGGGACCGGAAAAATCTATTATCTAAACGAGGTTATTAATTTATCGGGTATTAATTTATCGAGGTTCTACTGTATTATAATTCTGATTCAAAACAAAACTGAAAATCGGAATTTTTGAAATTCGAATGTATACATTATCTAAAAATCGTAAATTTCTTGACCGGAATCATCGTAATTTGAAAACCCGGGTTCCGATCGGTCGGAATCAGTCTCTATTGAAACAAGAAACTTTTTTGGAGGGAGATGCTTTCCTATAAGGCTAGTTTGGCTCTCTTTTTTAATAAATAAAATCAAAGATGTGATTTGTCTCTTAATAATTGGTTTGCAATAATTTATAAGTGGTTGATGACCAAGTCAAATTCCACAAAAAAAAGATATCTTTCATGAATAATCCTAATCACATACTTTTCATATATTGGAAAATTGTGAAATTATTGGGCCCTTTGTTATGTCAACTTGTTATATTCCACGTCAGTTTTTTTTTTTTTTTTTTTTTTTTTTTTATATATAATTATTAAGACGTTAGTTGCTTGATGGAACATATGACATAAATGCAAAATACCCAACAAAAGTAAATTATTCAATGAATAATTGTGTTGATTTTGAGTCATAATATTTAGGTATTTTGTCAAATTGTTATGTAGTCTCGAATTATGATGTGATAAACGATACGTGAATTGAATAAATCGGATAGTATCATCTAAGCGTAATACGTCAGCTCAATCGCATGGGTAGAATCTTCAGGAAAAAAAAAACTATTCAGGCTTCAAAGTTAAAATGTGCGAACTGATTACCAAAACGTTTAATAAATGAAAAAAGAAATACAAGATTCAAATAAAGAAGATATAAAGCATAAAATAATAGTTTAGAAATTAAGAAAATTTGAAATAAATAATTATAAAAAAAATAAAAAATAAAAAGTTAAGAAAAAAGGCTAAGGAATGTAATGGAAGACACTAAAATTTGTCGGCCTTTGGACGCGTTGGAAAATTGGCGGCTAGTTTTGTTCATCTTCTTCTTCTTCACTTGTTTTTTGGCCTATATAATCAATTAATCATGTCTCTATTACATCCTTAAATTTGACATGGAAATTTGCTAATTACACTTTTGCCCCCAGTGACTCACTAATTCAGGATAATGACATGACTGCTGACCAAAAAAAAAAATAAAAAAAATCTTTAATTTGGCCTACAATTTGGTAACAATAAGTATGAGGAATTAGAAAAAGGAAAAAAAATAATAAAAAGAAATTAAGAAATAGTTAAGAAATAGCACACGGATTGTATCAGAATTAGCCCTTTCGGAAAAATTTCATTTTTTTTACCAGAAGTGAAAAACTAGTTCCAATTCCTTTCCAAAAAAACCAAAAATTGGAATCATGAAAATTGGAACGAAAAAACTTGTTCCATTATTGAAGAATGTCGGACCAGAATTGCCGTTGCGGGATTCGGAAATTTCCAATTTTTGGTCACCTTAAATATAAAATACATAATAACATTGGTATTTTAAGTGTAATATTCGGAAAAAAAATATCAGAATTTAGTGAATTATTTCCAAAACTTAAATCGGATCGAAAATCGAAATCTCATGTACATTTCAATTCCGATCCAAATAATTTCGAAAAAAAAAGAGAGACTAAATTAAAGAGATAGGTATGAAGGAGAAACGTAGACTTGGTCAGAAGAAATTGCAGTGCCAAACAAATAAAAGTTAGGCTACATCAATTTTCTGTTTTTATGTATTTATAATATTATTTTTGGGTATTTAGGTTAAGCCAACTTGGCCTTAAAAAAAACATCCATTTCATGCAAGTTATTATATATTCAACTTTATAATAACAAACACAAATTTTTGAACTTAGGGACTTTTATTTCAACATTTTGCCCGTGGGATATATGTACGACCATTTTTTGAGGGCCCCATGCTATTATTTTGTTTTAGGGTAAATTACACCTACACCCCTAAGGTATGCTTAAATAATATTACAGTCCATGTGGTATCGGTAATTACACTCACCCCCCTGAGACGTAGTTAGAAACTCTAATGGGATAATGCATTGTATGCGTTATTCCGATAGAGTTCTAACGGACTATTGGTTTCAGGAAGTGGTGGAGACAACAAAGAGCTATGGATGATTTAAGAAATGTTGGAGGAGTCATGTCACCCCATAACTATATGTTGTCTCCATCACTAGCTAAAAGTAATAGTCCGTTAGAACCCTATCGGAATAATGTATCCAATGCATTATCTCATTAGAGTTTTTAACTACGTTTCAGGGGGTGAGTGTAATTACCGATACCATAGGGACCTTAAAGTTATTTAAGCATACCTCAGGGTTGCGGTTGTAATTTACCCTTTGTTTTAACTTATTTTATTCACTTGTCTATTATTATACACCTTTTTCTTTACTTTTTTATTTTATTTTTAACATATTACTATATAACTTTATTTATACATATTACTAAATAATAATTTTGGGTAAAATACGGCCACCGTCGAAAGTAATGTCAAATTACGAAAAATCTATTTTTGTTTGGGTAATTATAATTGTCCCATCAATTATGAATCTTCATAAGTCCACTCTTATGGTATCAAATTCAACAAAATCTTCTAGATTCCGTGAAATAATCTCTAATTTGTAGTTGTTTTGTGCAAAAATACAGTTTATAATGCACCACAATCTGATATTTGCAAACCAAAAGATACATCTTATAATCATCTTGTTTCAAAATGTGGAGGTCGAATGAGATAAAACGGGTACAAACTGAATAATATTCCATATAATCTAGAAAATTCCACTAAAATTTGTATTAGCCATACAAAGGGATTTTTTTCACAATATAGGGGTGTCCATAATTTACCCATTATTTTATTTACAATCATGTTTAATTTGTCATTAATCATTATGGAAAAACAAAAAAGAACGTACACTGCTCGCCGGAGCCCACACACTTCCATTTTATGTTCCCACCACCACCGCCGAGTTGACTCAATATCTAATTCTTTCATTAATTAAGTAATAATGGGTAAATTACAATCCACCCCTGATGTATGGTCAAATTACAAAAAATCTCCCATTTTTGGATGATTACAAATACTTCCCTCAACTTTGAATCTTCCTAAACGTCCACCTTATGGTGTTAAATCTAACATAATCTTTTAAACGTCCACCTTATGGTGTTAAATCTAACATAATCTTTTAGATTCTGTGGAATGTTCTCTAGTTTGTATTCGTTTTGTGCAAAAATACAGTTTCTGATGCACCACAATCTGATATATACAAGCCAAAAAAACACATCCTGCTTCAAAATATGGAGCTCGAATGACATAAAACAGGTGCAAAATTGAGAATATTCCACTAAATTTGAAACCGCAAGGGTGGAAGTGTAAGAAGATTTATAGTTGAGGGGTGTGATTGTAATTACCTAAACATGAGAGATTTTTACGTAATTCGACCATAAATCACAAAAAAAAAAAAAAAAAAAAAAAAAAAAAAAAAAGAAGCTCTCTTCTCTGCCATGAAAACAACATTTGTTATGCACAGTTGTGGCCGTTGAAGAACACCCCTTTTCCGCCATTAATACACATCCCCTCAACCCATCTGCTTTTATTACACTACAAATTAGTATCTCTCTCTCTCTCTCTCTCACACACACACACACCGAAGCTTCGTTCGAGTTTGCGAATTTGTTTCGCATTGAAATGAAACACCAAACCTCGTGATCGTCAAGGTACGCCATATGTATGTATAATATTCAGCTGTTCTATGTGCTTCCTTAATACTTACATTCATCCTTGTACTGTATTATTCTCTCTCTCTCTCTCTCTCTAAAATTAATTTCTCTCTCTAATTTTTCCCATTTCCGCAGTGTAATGCAGAAATAAAAAAGTGTTCTTTTTTTGTGTTCAATCGAAAACCATGGAAGCCCACCTCAAGCTTTTCATTCTGCTCACATTCTTGTTCCTCAACTCGTCGGCGGCAGCGGCGGCGGCGGCGGCTCAGCCTGTGCCGCGGCTGAGCTCTCAGACAGAGTGGCGGGCCCTATTTGACCTCCGATCGTCTCTCGGAATCAGAGCTAAAGATTGGCACAAAAAAGCAAACCCTTGTTCGAATTGGACCGGAATACAGTGCAAAACCGGCCGTGTGACAGGGATAAACTTGTCCGGGTTAAGGCGAACTCATTTAGGAAACCTCAATCCTCGATTTGCCGTCGATTCCTTGTCGAATTTTCCGTTTCTGTCGGTTTTCAATTCGACGGGGTTTTCGCTACCGGGCTCAATTCCGAGCTGGTTATTCGAAAGGCTTACGAATCTTGAAGTTCTTGACCTCAGTTCTTGCTCGATTTACGGTTCGCTTCCATCGTCGATTGGACGTTTGAGTCGGCTCGGTTCCTTAAATTTGTCGAACAATTCGATTGCCGGGAATATTCCAACTGCATTGGAGAATCTTTCTTCGTTGTCGGTTCTTGATCTTTCGCAGAATCTATTCACAGGACAAATTCCAAAAGAAGTTGCTGCTCTTTCGAATCTTACTAAACTCGACTTTTCGTCGAATTATTTATCCGGTGGGATTCCTCTCGAGTTCGGCTCACTCTCGAATCTCGAATTCTTGAATTTGAGTAACAATAGTTTGAGTGAGTTTATTCCACCTCAGCTCGGAAATCTTTCCAAGCTGATCGAACTCGATCTCGGATTCAACTCCTTGTTCGGTTCGTTACCCGACGAATTAGGCGGGTTGAAAAATTTGGAGAAATTAATGATTGGTAATAATAGGATGGAGGGTTCTTTATTAGATAGCTTGTTTCGAAAACTTCCTTTATTAGATTATTTAGTTCTCAGCAGTAATAATTTCGTCGGCGTACTTCCGATTTCTCTATGGTCAATGTCCCGTCTCGAATACCTAGACGTCTCCAGTAATAATCTCACCGGCGATTTTCGGAACCCGATCGGTTCTTTCAACGTCACTAATGCAGTCTTCAATTTCTCCAACAACCTGTTTTACGGAAATTTAAACGTCGGTTTTGAAAAGCTCGGTTTAATTGATGTATCTAGCAATTATTTCGAAGGATCAGCTCCTAATAAAACTGGAACCACCGTTATATTTTCGGACAACTGCTTTACGAGTGTGCCGGGTCAGCGAAATCCCGATGCGTGTCTGAAGTTTTACTCCGACAGAGGTATATTTTTCGGTAACGATAGTAGTGTGCCGTTTGAGCCTCCATTGGTACGATTTCCGAAGACGAGAAAACGAGTATTGACGTACGTTATGATCGGAGTATTCGGTGGGCTCGGTTTTATCGTAATTCTAGTAGCGCTAATATTGTTGCTTTCGAAAGCATGCAGTATTAGAAGTGAAGTTCATCGAAGAAGTAATCCGAGGGCGGACCATGTTCTAGAAGCTCCCGTCGACTTGTCCGGATTAGGACAACCGTTTACGTACGAGCAATTGCTCGTAGCTACGCGCGATTTCAGCAGCGAAAACCTAATCAAGAACGGCCATTCGGGCGATCTATTCCGTGGGAAATTGGAGGGGGGCGATTACGTAATTATCAAGAAAGTCGATCTGCGTGGTGTTACGACGAAGGAATCGTTTGCGTCGGAGTTGGATTTTTTTAGCAAGGGGACGATGGCGCACGCGAGGGTGGTCCCGCTCGTGGGCCATTGCCTGGAGGATGAAAACGAAAAGTACTTGGTCTATAAGTACATGCTTAACGGAGATTTGTCGAGCGCTTTTTATAGACGAACTAACGAAGATGAAAACGAAGAAGACGAATTGCAGTCGTTGGATTGGATTACGAGATTGAAGATTGCAATCGGAGCTGCCGAGGCTTTATCGTACTTGCACCATGAATGCATTCCTTCGATTGTCCATAGGTATTATTATTAGTTATTACATGACATATATATATATAGTATTGATTATTATATGACCTAATTTCGTTTTTTCTTTACTTATAAAGAGATATTCAAGCTAGCAGTATACTTTTGGACGACAAATACGAGGTGCGGCTCGGAAGTTTAAGTGAAGCTTGTGATGTAGGAGCCAACATTAATCATAATATGTTTGCGAGGTTGCTTCGTACACCGCAGTAAGTTGCTTTCGATTGTGATCATTATTGTACGTTCCGTCTAATACTCGTCTCCGAAATTCTCAGCACCTTTTTTTTTTAAATTGAAAATTTGCAGGACTTCCCGAAAACGACATTCTGGTAAGAGTTCGCTTCTGCAAGAAAAAAACAATTTATAAATTTTATGTTACATTTCTAGTAACTAGGGGTGGTAATTGGAACGGAATTGCCGATTCCGATCCAAAATTTTCGGATTTTGGAACAACATTCTTCATTTTGAATTTTTAAAATTCAGATTCTCATTTTTCTGATTTTCCTTTTGGATTGGAATTGGAGTACATATACATTCCGATTTCCGATCTAATTTTAATTTCCGAAAATAGTTCTGAAAATTACAGTTATAATATCAAAATTATTACGATTTTACAACTAGGTTGTTAAAAATTGGAATTTTCCGTTTTCCGTTTTCCGTTTTCCGTCGATTTCGAAACACGTTCTATCATTTCAATTTCCGAAATTTCAATTTCTTATTTTTCCATTTTTTTATGAACAAAATTATAATTAGCTTTTCACTTCCAAAAAAATGTTTTTTTTTTCTTCCAAAAGTGCTAATTTTGATCCGATCCGTCCGACTATCATCCCTACTGGCTACTTGTAACATGAACTTACCTTTTTTGTTCAAAAAACAAACTTGGTTGAAAATCTTTCGTAAAAATGACATTATTCCAAAAACATTATCAGGATCGTCATCTATTACATGCGCGTACGATGTATACTGCTTCGGAAAAGTCCTACTCGAGCTAGTAACCGGTAGGCTCGGTATAAGCGCATTAAACGAAGCCGACGCAAAGCAATGGATGGACGCCAATTTACCCTCGATCAATATCTACGACAAAGAACTCGTGATCAAGATTATCGACCAGTCGCTCATAATAGACGAGGACCTTCTAGAAGAAGTGTGGGCCGTAGCAATCGTGGCCAAATCATGCCTCAATCCGAAAGCTTCTAGAAGACCTTCGATAAGACACGTTCTTAAAGCATTGGAGAACCCTTTTAAGGTTGTAAGGGAGGAGAATTTCAGCTCCGGGAGGCTGAGGAGGGCTTCTTCTAGGCAATCTTGGACGGCTGCGATTTTTGGCAGCTGGCATCATAGTTCATCGGACGGTTCTGCTGAATCGGGTCAGACGAGTAGAGAAATTATCGGCGGTTTGAGACAGACGGAGAGAGTGGGGTCGCGGGGCAGTGGGGCCCACGAGAATTCGTCTTCGCATAAAAGATCTTCGAGTGATGTCTTTCCGGAGCCGGTGGAGATGCAAGATGATGGTACCGGTTGAGTGTGTGATGTATGTTTGTATTTATAGCTTGTGGGTGTTTTAATACCGTTTTATCGAGTAAAAATCCCGTTTATCGATTTGTTTATGCACTTCATTTGTACAGGAAAAGAATGGATGGTATGGACTCCAATCAACTTTTAGAGAGAGGGTTTTTGGGTGCTTATTTTCATTTTGTTTTGGGAAAAAAAATGAAAATGATTTTTTTTTCTTTTTTTTGGATGGATAGAATAAATACTTTAGCAATCAAATCATTTTTAAATATTTTTGGGAAAAATATATTTTAAAAGAATAACTTGAAAAAATAAAGGGGTTTCAGCTCGTAAATCCATTTTGCCCAGTTTTATACATCAGACGGTCTTCAGTACTATACTTTGCATATTGTTCTCTAATCACCCGAAATATCTGGAATGTCATTCATTAAACGATTTTGTATTTTCTTTTTCTTCTCCGTTTTATTTATACATGTAACCAAATACCATTTATCCCTCCTATGATATAATAATAGTTCCCACACATGTGTGGTCACATCTTCCCAAAATTAAGATAAAAACGGCGTGCTCAACCTTTGTCTCCTTTTCGCGCCACCGTAGCTCCACCCATCTATAATGCTACCATTTTTAGCTCTATGCCCTGTGTCTCAAAATATAGATGTATCTAGTGATAGTCAACAACCCTTGGTTGAAGTACTAGAATATTGTTGTCGTCATCAGAATCATCAGCTCCTTGTTATTGCAATCAAGAACAATGAGATAGGATGTTGTGATTTACGTCAATTTTGAATATAAACTTCTTGTCAAAAAACGCTCGTAGGAACACGTGCGTAAGAAAGGATTTGCGAGCTAAAACCCCAAAAATAAATTGAAGTTTATTGTTTTTTAGTAAAGACAATCACGTTCAAAGGAAATAGAAACTTTTGAATATTTTTTTTAATAATTAACGAACATGAATTCAGTTTGGGAAAACAGCGGAAAGAAAGCCAAAAACGTTACCAAACATTACGAGAGTACGACTATTACTGCATTTGGTTTGAAGATAAAAGTCATTAACTATTTACATCTTCAGCGAATGTGAAACATTCTAAGATGGCAACTATCGTTCAACTGGATTTTAAGTATTTTTCTACGAAGAAAACCAGGAGAGTCTCCACAGACAAAATGTATTTTCATGAAGCAAGGATATCAAGTTCATGGGGCATGAAATCTTCACTCGGTCGATAGTATTTGTCTGGAGAATAGAGGCTCAGATTCGTCACTTGGCTAGTGTACAGACAAGCAAATCTCTCCACCTGACAAAATTACGAAATAAAAAACAGTTAATTATTATCTCGATAACATGCAGATATTCATAGAAATTACGTCTCACCTGATGGGCGAACCGAGAATTCTGATAGCCAGTTTTCATCAGCTGTCCCCATACCTTGTGGAACTGAAAATATTTGATAAAAAAAAAAATATTTAAAAATTATTCTTGAAGTGTTAGCAAACCGAAATGTAACGGTTCTGAAGTTGACTTTTCTAAAAGCATCATAATGTGTTTTGTTGATGAGAACTTATTTACCTTTCGATGGCATTCTCGTTGTGCTTCTTGATGACTGAGCCGCACTCGCTCCTGTTGCGACTGTCATGACATAAATTTTGCATGAGATGATTTATATAGCACTTAAAGCTGATAACTATTTCAGAATAACAAACAAAAGTATTTTTCCAATTGTCAATATTTTATCAAACATCACACTATCTGCTTAAAAGCAAAGGTTTTGTTTTTTTTTTTTTTTAACCTCAGATACTCGAGTAATGGCTATGTCAAGTGAATTGATAATTATCATTGAAAAACTCAGTAAACTTTCCTAACCTGCAATTGGGCAATCTCAGCTAGTAGCTCCTCCTTGTTCTCAATATTCACACCATCGAACCTGGTCGTAGATAGAAAGGGAAAGGTACATGGTTATTTTCCAAATGACGCACATGTTTGCTTTGACAGCTCAAATCCTTCGATCAGTCGTAAAGGGAATCCTGAATTTCCTTGAAAGATTCTATCCGACGGAGTGATTATACAAATGAAAGTATATTTCGTATTCCAAATCCGCAATGGAAAATTGAAAAATAAAGGCTAGAAATTTATTTACCTCATAGACCACTGGAGATGATGTATTGTGTCTTCAATATGGTCACGTTTATTCCTCAGTAATTGAAGGTGCTACATAGAATTAAACATGAAACTGAGAATAGATAAATATCGTGAATTAAATCAAGAATCCAAGAGGCACTGATAGCAGAGATAGAAAGAAACGATATCATGGCATTCAATAATCACTTTTCCAAAGCATTATTACTCCAAATAAAGACCTTTTATACCTTGCGAGTTTCTCTGAATGTCCAGAGAAGTTCAACTTCCTTCTCAAGCTCCGGAACAACAAGCATTGTTCTCCAACCTTCATACAAATGACATGACCCAGAATCAGACTTCAGAAATAAACACTATATATCAGTATCCAAAGATTATTAACTTCAAGTTAAAATGCAAAATGGCGTTGCAATCAACATTATTTAATTTCAAATTCTTCTCTACTTCGGTAAAAATAAGAAAATCTAGAAAGCATATAAACGAAATGTGAGAGATTGTAAACCATACCTAGAATCTTTTTACTGCGCAAAATATCTCCATAGATGTGATCTCCAACATAAAGTACCTAAATAAGACGTCAATGGTTGCAAAATTTCAGCCCATCAGAACCACGACATACCCAAGGGCAACAACTATATAGATACTTTGACTTCCGAACAGATAAAAACCACAATACGGGACTCCAATAAAAGTAAACCCTGCTAAAGGGCAAAGAATACCTGGGAGCTTGATTCTATGGACAGTAATTTATGCAGATGGCCAACATTTCCTCCCTGAAAGTAATTTCAGAAAGACTATCAACACAATAACCATAATTGACTGAAAATCGACAATCAGAAAACAAGGCGACATTTGATTCTTATCTTCTTTCATTCCTTGGTATAAATATACATCGAAGTGTAGTGTGTAGGGTATACCTGGAAAATTTGGCAACCTTTGTCTAGGGTCTTCAATGGTAACCTTAGAGCAGTATCTACCTGGTTAATCAACAAAAGAAAGTCAATTAGACCTGCAGAAGAGTGGTGTAGAGTATTCCATTTCTGAAAATGTCGAGAAGATAATCTAACCTGAGGCATAGGAGTTCCATTATCTGTATTGAGAAGCATACCCGATTCAGGATCAACTTCAAAAAGATTAGCACGGTTTTCATCATGGAAAAAACCTGGTTTTGCGCTGTTCAAAATGAGCCATAACAGTGTTATTAACAGAATAATGAATAGCCAATAGAATAGATTAACTCACTTATTAGTCCACGATGAGTTAAGAAATATAATAGGGACAATAACATATATAATGTGCATTTCAATTATTAAGCATTGTGAAATTCATGTAATGACATATCACAAAGTACAAATTTTCGAAAGAAAAAAAAAATCCTAATTCCCCAAACTACCATCTTAAGTGAGCAGAAACAAGAACCAGTAAATAATCATTTTTGTCAAAGACTTTCAAGAGTCAAGAAATGTTTATCACCTGCCAGTAATAACAACATCGAAAAACTGAAGCCAATCAAAATTCAAATCGGAGCAACCATCCACTGCTCTTGGTCCACACAGGAAGTTCATTACAATATTCGTATAATCCCATAGGCTGCACCAATAACAAATCGAGTTCTTAGTTAGACTTAACTACCACACCTACTTGTCAGTATAAAAAGATATAAGGTCTTAGGATTTCGGAATATGTAGAACACTGAAAAATCTTATGCTCCATATAAAATTGAAGTGAACCATTCCCAAGATAAATTTCATAATTAAATGCATCATTTGTGTCCATAAAACATTTTGACCCTGGAAATTACCTGTTTGTCACCAGAAATGTAGCACGACCAGAATCTCTAAGCATCTTCAGCATGGGAACAATTGAGGAATCCTCATTGATATATCTATAAGATGAGCATATTGGAAAGTTAAGATTTATGGTTCAAAAAAATTGGGTTTTGTATAATTGAACTCAAGACCACTAAAGAATTACTAACTTGGGCAACAATAACACAAGAGGGATTACTAAAAAATTACAATGCCTATATCTAAGTTATGAGAACCTTCATCACAACATAAATTTGCACAAGCTTTAACAGGGTAACTTGAAAGTAATTCACAAGGGAGTTGGTACAAAATACAAAGAGCTTATTTAGAAATTTATTGAATCAAGCATTTAGAAAAATTAATAAGCCTTTGCGTAAAATGAAATAGAAAGGAAAATGGTTCAAAAATTGTTTAACCTTGCATAAAAATCTAATAACAACATGAAATAGATTCACTTTTTATGCATGACACAGCCAATAAAAATTAATTGTGCAATGTAGATATATACCAAAAAACACGACGCTTATAACTCTAAAGTGGTCTAGAATCTCTAGGCAGAATTAACAGCAAAATCACCATTTTGCTTATCTTAGGTGATTTTTTTAAATAAATCTGTGAACCCATGTATTATCCATGTCTACGACTCAGATGTCACACGAGTAGATTAGGTAAGCAGTCACCCGTGAAGCATTTCTTAAGAAAATAATTGTTCGAAGAATATTCCAGAAATTCGTTCACACAGCAATGCCCTAGAAATGACTTGCTTAGGTTATTATAATTACGTGGTGCATAATTCATAAATGGTGGCGAAAACAATTGAGGAGATAGGTGACAACAGTGTGGAGTGACATGTCATCCTGAGACTGATTGTGGTGAACAAGGTCAACATAATTGTAATTGATAGGACCTCAAAGGGCTTATTCATTGAAAATTCTGAAATGTAATAGAAGGCTTATTTAAGAATTAAGAAGATTAAAATAAAGGTATTGATCGGTGTATTAATTGCCTCATGAAAGTCAATATGCTATGAAATAATAATAAAATAACCACAGGAGAGATGCATTAAATGTATGTATGTGAAAGAAAAAAACACGTGACTTATTAGATATATCGATGATATGCTTGGCTACATATGCATTCCAGATAGTCTAATTCAATTATTACATTCCAATTCTAGTTCAAAGAAATCAACCAATTTCTACGTGTCATTCGAAATAAATTGCATGAACTTTGAATACCTTTTAGGATCTTTTGCAACCATCTTCTTTAATGTCCCGTCGCGATGGCACAAATCAACTGCAGCTCGAACATCTTTATACATACGAGAATAACTGCACGCCATTATGTAGGAAGGGTGAGAAAACCATTGACTTCAATCAGAATCATTAACTTTATGCAAGTTCAGTTATACGTGCTTTGCTTTTGCTTATACTTAGACTTTTCGATATACATCACGGCAAACAAAATGAATGATCCTAAGTACAATGATCAACCTTACATGAAAGTTAAGTTCATCAATGGAACAAATGGAATGTTGACATTTCTTATCTTGTGGACCTTATTCAACATGTTTTTGTCGATTCCATAGGAACTAATAGTCAAGTTCTTTTATTCAGTTTAAACGCTTTAACCTAATTAGTGAACTAAACCACGTGAGTTGACATTAATAAGCTTTAGAACATACTCGAACATACGTGAAATTGTACAACATTGCAACAATGTTTCTAAGTAAGAAGAAAAACAATTTTATTTCCAAATAGGTGAAGTAGGTTACTCAACGGTACTACATCAATTTTGTTAAAGAAAAAACTGTTGACTAAGAAGCTGATCGTGACCGAGCAAAAGGACATCCAAATTGGGGAAGGAAAATTCTAAAAGAATTGTAACCATTCATAGTTAAGTAACTAAACAGGATGTACTATTATGTAAATCATGTAATTTGTTGTTCAAAATCATTAATATTTATCAAAAACCCAAAAAAAACATCAACAAGATTAAACACATCCACAAAATATTTTAGGTTTCATTTGCATTGATGGATTTGAAATGATTCCAAATAAAAACGGTTTGAAATGACTTCAAATTGTAAGGATTTGAAATCCACCACAACTGCTAAAAAAAACATAAAATGAGAGCTAAAGATTTGAAATTCATTGTCAAATAACTCAATCCAAACAAGCTCAATGGATTCGTTATTATGGATTTGAAATTCCTCCCTCGAATCCTTCTATCCAAATTCACTCTTAAGGTTTTAATTTGGATGTTAGAAGTTTTACAGAATTGTTTAGATAAACAAGAAAATTAGCTACTGCAGCCAATCTTGAAATGCAAAATTGCACTAATGTTCTAACTCTACTTGAAAAATTTCCGAAGTGTAATCATCGAAATCTAGAAATTGAGCAAATATCAAACAAGGCAACTAACTACCGTGGTACAAAAGGTTAAGACAACATATGGCAATAATTCTCTTACTCTGCTGGAATTTTTCCCGGATTCTTATCCTTAAAGTCAACGAGTTGCGCAAATAAGTAAGCTTCAGCTAGAGAGAAAAGGGTATCAATTAGAGCATATTCAGGCTCGTCAAACGCATCGCGGATCAATGTACTTCCATATGTGGCAACTTTGTCTTCCTTCGACAGCTCTCTGAATCCATGGTAAGCCACCTTTACATACTTGTGTCGATCCATCTGTTAATTACAGAACCAAATTCACATATACATGAACCCAAAACCCAATTGACAGAGAACAAATCACTGATAAATATCTGAAATCATATTGAAAAATAATCACAATTTGTAACCGATCAACACAAACCTTCAGTATATTTCCTCTCTTTTTATCTAGAACTAGTCCTCTGACCATGTAAGTCCAGTCAAACGACCATTCCAGCAACTACACGAAACAAGTCAAGTTAAAATGCTAAAGATCCTCAAATAGGAAGCAAATCCAATAAGCATAGAGCACAAGTTGGCTGCAATTATTACTAATCATTGCGCAAATTCTAGAAACTTGCAACTAAACTAAATTTGCCCAGTTCTGCTATACATATATCAACAACTACTAACCACTGTTGCAGGAAAATTAGAGGAGAGAGAAAGATAACCTCTGTAGGGTATCCCAAATCATTAACCAGCTTCTTGACAGTGCCTACATAGGCAAGTGATTCGAATGTATCTGGTTTGTATTGGGCCAAAGTATAGTCCATATCGAATCCAACTGCAACTATACTCCTCATGTTTAGAGATCTATTGCAGAAGATTTGTTTTCCTATATCAATCCTTTGTCCTCCTTCTGGAGAAGACCACACATGAGGATGCTTATCGTCGCCATCGATGCTGCTAGTCTTTTCATACGGCATTGTTTTGCTATCCATAACGTAACTGGTATTAAGTTGATTATTACTTGACTCTGTTCAACAAAAAGAAACACTGTAAATTAAAAAGAGTCAAAAGCACATACATGAAATTAACTTGCAACAACAATATCAATGGAAACATAAATAAATTACCCAATCGAGAAACAACCAGCTGTACTAATACAGTCAAGTGTTCTGTCATGATGCAAGTATTACTTGGCAAGTGATTATATGCTCTAGTTGATTAATTACTGATATAGATATCAACAACCACACACTATTCATCAAATTCACCAAGAACAGAGACAATCATAGAGAACTCAAATTCAGTGAACTTCTTCTATACAGATCTTAGCTTCTGCATAAACATTACTAAAAGGAAAAGTCATAATTCACAAAACATTCCCAGAAGAGATAATCTATGATTAAGTTTCCGTTAATGCAAAACAACCAACATAATAGCATAAAGTAATTTTGCATATACATTGTAAAGGAGAAGCAGAACTGGTGAAGATGGCATGCAAAACGAAATTTGATTAGAACACCCAAATTTTTTTTTTAAAGTACACAAAAAAATTAATAATAATAACCATCACTCTAATCAGGAGCAGTCATAAACCTCTGAAAAATAAATTTATACACAGTACTACAAAAAAATCATCCAAACATATAAATAAATAATAAATAAAATAGCGCGGAAATGTACCTCTAGTAAGATAAACCTTCCTTCTACTGCGAAACTGGTCGGCGATCGGAGAACAAAAAGCTCGAGAGCGAAAACGCAAAATCGTCGAAGAAAATGAGGAGGCTGAGGGTAATGAAAATAAGGAGACGCAGAGTGAAAATGGACGCCCTTTGGCGATACGCATCATCGTATTAAATAGCCATTGCCCTACGAGCTGAAAAGGAATTTCAAGCAACAGTACCAATTTGACAACCTAGAATCGAACCCGATACCGCGATACCCCCTTTGTTTATGCTGAAACCCCTCTCAATGCATTAAATTCAGGCATCCAACTCCCCAATTTTTTTTGTTCTCGACTTTGGCCCCCCTTCACCCACCAATTTGTACTTTTACGCGAAAATGCGGAGAATTTCCCGCATCGGATTTCCGCTCCCAGAAGGAATCAAATTCGAATTCCCGCCACGTGGCGACGGAGCGGGGGTGGTGCTTTATGGTGGTGGTGGTGGTGGCGTGTTAAACGTGAACGGATGATGTGGCGGTGGTTGTGGGGTTTTGGATTTTTTTTTTTTTTTTTCTCAATTAAATTATTTAATTATTTGTGAAATTTGAAAATTCAGAGGAATAACGGGAATACAGAGAGCTTGAGGGTGAAGGGGAGAGAGAGAGAGAGAGAGAGGTGGAGGAGTAGAGTGAGAAAAACGCCGGCGGCGTATTTTAGCACGAGTGGGGTAGTGGATGGGGACTGCTGGGTAATTTCCTGCCTTGAATATATATTCTTCTTTTATCCAACAATGGAAAGGAGCATTTTTAAGTTAAATAGTATTTAGTGTAATTACGAAAACCCCATGAACTTAGATTAAATAACAAAAGACGCACCCACCTATCCGTAATAACCTAAACTCTCCTCTGATTAACTGTTGATCGAGTTTTTTAACAGAAAAATGTGTATAGTCTATTATACTTTATGTTAAATAGGTGAGAAATAAAAGAAAATGATGAAGAGGCGACAGAAGAGGAATTGTGTGAGGCCAAGTTTTTCCGAACCGGAACGACGAGGGGAACCGAACCCACAACTTCGCCGTGATGTTTGGATGGATTTTGGCGTTTCGAGGTCGATTAGGCTCCCAAAACGACGTTTTTGCCATTTTAGGAAAGTTTTAAATAATTCATAATTAATTCTATAAATTCGGATTTCAATTTTGCAAGTTGGGATATTTTCAATTATCAGTATTCTATTAGATTTAGAAATTATTTCGTTTTTGCATTTTTTGGTAATTTATCTCGTTTTCCTAGTTTGATTAAGGTTTTTCCGTTTTCGATACTATAAGTGGTTGCTATAGGGTTTATTTTCAAGATTGTTTATTATCAATAAAACATCTGAGTTTCTCTCATTTTAATTTTCTGGTTGATTCCAGAGCTCTTGTGTTCTTTTAATTAATTCGTGCAATTAATTCTTTACCGTGCTTCCGTTCTGCATCAAAAAATATCTAAAATTGTGTAAAGTCTATTCCCTTGAATAAAAACAAAATCCGTGAAAAGTCCCACTGTGGTGTAAGATGAAAACAAATTTCAGGGGGGTTTTGGTAATTTCAAATAGGTGGAGGGTAGTTTTTATAATTTAATCTAAGTTTATGGGGGATTTTGTAATTTACCCTAGTATTCATAAAATTTAAAGAATATTTTCTAAAATAAAATATTTTAAATATATATTATTTGTGTCTTGGTGTTTCAAATGTAATGTATAATATTCATCAGATATTAATTATCCTAAAATGAAGAACAAAAAATATTCGCATTCTCTATTCATTCTTCGATAGTATATTCTCCGGCAAGTTACAAAAATGGAATAACTTCAAATGAAATGAAATTAATTGTTTAATTAAAGTTTATTTCATCTACTTCATTTGTTCTCACGAATTTTATTTTTATTTTTTCGATAGAAAAGATCAATCATAAATTAAATAAATAAAAAATTACAAGAGTCAACAATCGGGGAGCCCCCGTCACAAAAACAACATACACGAATATTACAAAACGGAACATAATCAATCCACTTGTCTTCAAATGCACACTTAGCTAAGTTGTGAGAAGCAAAATTTGTGTTTCGTGAGATACATTTGAATCGTCATTTCGACCATAGTGCCCAAAACTTTTCTATCCCTTCAATTAACACTTGTACGTTCCGGTTGATAATGCACGAGGCATTGTTGATAAAGAAAATAGCGTGCATGCAAGGGATAAAGTAACTAAAATTTCAGTCAAGTAAGAATACATATATAAAATATGGTGGATATTACACGTTTAATCTCACTTTACACCTTTGAAATATAGTGTCATGAAACTTTAGATCCATCAAAACTTAAAAGAGAAAGAAAAAAGAAAGAAAAAGAAATCGGTTGGGATGCTTTGTGAGTGTTTGCATTTTTAGGGTGCAAAACGTATATATTTTTTGGGTAAATTACACCTACATCCATGGGGTATACTAAAATAACTTTAAGGTCCATGTAGTATTGACATTTACAATCAACCCCTAAAACATTGTTAGAGACTCTAATGAGATAATGCATTGAATAATTATTCCGATAAAATTCTAACGAACTAAGAGATGAAACCACTACAAAAAGATGAATATGTAGCAAAATTTGCTTTACTAGAAATGTACTTGAAGCGCCACTTTGGTCTAAGTGTCCAAATTTTCCAAAATTTGCTAAATAAGAACCGTCGCGGCAGACCAGTGAACTTCAGACGATGAATCGTGTATAAAACTTATTGCATTTAGATTTTTTCGCACAAGGGTTTTGATTTTTCCAAATTAAATCAAGAAGCACACAAGTGAAGATCATAAATTCATTTTTAAAGATGTTTAAGAACTTATATACTCTTCATAAAATTTTAATCCTCGTTGATTTCTTTAGACTTATTATTTTCTCTCCCAAAAATTTTATTCCTCGTTGATTTCTTTAGACTTGTTATTTTCTCTTCCAAAAAATAAATAAATAAATTACATTTGATCAGTTGAACGGACTTGTATTGGTATTAAATAACGAAACACAAAATTTCTTATACTTTGTTCAGTTCATAAATCAAATAAATAAATTATAATTAAGTAACAAAAATATATAAACAAGGGCAAATTTCACTTTCCCCCTCTATAGTTTGGCTCGGTATTACATTATCCCTTTCTATTCTTAATTGTATCGATTTGGCCCCCGCACTTGAATAATTGTCTCAGTGTGGTCCTTGTTGTTAGTTGTCAGACATTTGACATTAACATCGTTTTGCTAAACTCTGAAATTACAAAAAACGACACATCTCTCAGTTTAAATAATTATTGAGAAAATAATTAAAAAAAAAAAAAACAAGACAACGAGAAAGCATAGTCCACGACGACAACCACAATTTATTTTAATTTTTTGTTATAATTATTTAAACAGAGAGGAGTGGTTTTTTTTGTAATTTTCAGACCTTAGACCAAACGTTGTTAAAATCAAAAGTCTGAAAACTAACGTTGATGGCTATATTGAGACAATTTGTCAAGTGCGGGGGCAAATCGATGCAATCAAGATTAGAAGAGGATGAAGTAATATCGAGCTAAAATACAAAGGGAGAAAGTGGAATTTACCCTATAAACAAATACTTACATTTGATATTTGAAATTCAAAACGTCCAAATGTGAATATCAAACGACTTCATGAGTAAGAGGTCATTGGGGCATTTCAACAAGCACCTTCTGTTCATTCTTCGAAGTCATTAATTCTCAGATGATAAGTATTTATATTGCAAATAAACCCCTCCTTCTTCCCTCTATCCGCCTTACGAGGACAACAACCAAATGGTATAAACGTTATTTTTCTTTTTTCTTTTTATTATTTTATTATTTTTTTATTTTTAATAATTTATAATAGTAATAATAAATTGATGAAAAAACGCAGGGAAAAAATGAACATGGCTCCAACGAGGCTTCTCCGATATTCGGGGGAGATGAAGGTAATTCAGTTGATACGGTAAATAAAAAAATCTTAAAATCTAATAGTATAGTAGAACCTCGATAAAATTAATACTCAATAAAAAATAGCCTCGCGTAAATAATAATTTTTCCGGTCCCAATTTGGCGAGAACGTGCTAAATTATTAACTCGATAATTTAATATTCCGCTAAATTAATCGAATTTCCTTAGTCCGACTATATGAATTTAAAGAGGTTTAACTAGAGGTGAAAGTCGGATGGATCGGATCGGAATTAGCCTTTTCAGAAAATTTCTAAAAAATATCGGAAGTGCAAAATCAATTCCAATTCCAATTCAAAAAATTTCGGAATATAAAAATTCGTTTCAATTCCAAAAGGTCCGGAAATTTCGGATTTCGAAAAAAAATTGGAAATCACATAAGCTTTAAAATTTCAAAACTTAGCCAAAATTTTCTACAATGTTCATAAATTTTCAAAAATAAGAACATCCACGTTGATTAAAGTAAAACTAATAACTACTAAATTTCAGTTAAAAAAATAAATAAAAATAAACACAACATAATATCTAATAAAACTTCTAACAACAATTCATTATGTCCAAATCCTAAAACAAAACTTATAGGTGTATTTTTCGGAAAATAAGTATTATATAATATATATTATTTATAGGTGTATTTTCGGAAAAAAATCGGAATTTTTCGGTATGAATTTCGGAATTAAATTGGATCGGAAATCGGAAATTCCAAATTTATTTTATATAATTCCAATTTCAATCCAAAAAATCGGAAAAATTCGGAAATCGGAATTTCGGAAGTCGGAATGAAAAAAGTTATTCCAAAATCGGAACTTTTTGGATCGGAACTGGCGGAAATTGGAAATTCCGTTCCAACTTGCACCCACGTCTAACCGTACAGCGGATTGACTATCTTCTAGTTTATTTATATTTAATATTTTAGCTTTTGTTTTCTGTTTTTGCAAAATTGAAAATATTAATTAAAATAGTTAGGGGTAGTTTTGTCTTTTCGTCTAAGACAACAGATTAGTCAATTTCGACACTGCAGATGGTGTCTGTGCATGCTATCAACTCAAAAACAAAATATCTTTACTTCAAACTTCAAAGATGAAAATATGTAAACTTTTTGTAGTGCATGCATGCATGCAGATCAATATCGGTTGCCCCTCGGAATATTTGGCGGGCATAAGTGGCTATTTTCCGAAACTTTGCTCCGGACACGGGAGGACCATGGTAATAAAATCGCTGCTTTTCGACACAAATTTAAGGAAACGGACATCCGGTGTAGGGGCAAATACGTCTTTTTCATTTTCAATGAAAGGTGGTGAGATTAATGGATTTCATGTGCTTTCCGGTCCAATTCCAGTGCACGATTCCGCTCAAATACGACACCGCGAGGTTATGCTGCATTTTTCAAACTCCCTTCGTTTCTTTTTAAATGTCTCTGTAAGCAAAATAATTTTTTTTTTCAAAATGAATTATAATAACTATATTATCTTGTTGTCTAATTTAATTATCAAAATCAGTTACCTATATATTATTACATATTGCAGCAAGTTGATGTTATCAGAAATGCTATATATTATCATCAATCAAATAGTTATTATAATAGGGAGATACAATATACATTTTATCACCAATTGCAGATTGATATCGACTACAAAACCGAGTTTCTTACATCCGTGAATGAATATCATGGCATGGTTGGTGAAATGAACATGATTAGATCGATAACTTTCTACTCTAGGGCACTTTTTTCAGTTCGGGACTGTGTGAAGGAAAAGTTGTGGGATTTCA